ATAACCTACCACCTGCAAGAGAAATTCCACAGTGAATTCAAGAATTAGATTTCATCCTGGTATAGCAAGCAGAAACCAACTGTTTACATAGGTCATTCTTTAATGGCATTGTTTTTCAATCAACAGTTAGAATATGCATATTTTTACTACAACCTTTAATACTGAAGCAATTTATAACATATAGGAAAAACACCTGCAAAATGCTTTTTATAATTTTTTTCTCAAAATTTAAATGGTTTGATTCACCTCTCCTGATCCTAAAAGGAATGTAAAATAGAGAAAGAATTTAAAAAGCTACACAAAAACAGTGTTTCATTTTCATAGTCTAAAACATGTTTCAATTTAATTCCACATACACAAGGGTCTACTATATAAAGGCATTTTAACGGATAATATATTATTAGTCCATATGTTTATCACTATTTATTTGATTTGGACTGTTTTTAAAAGAATTATAGAAATTGTTTATAGCTTTAATCCTGCTTTATAATTAGTTATCTGAAAGGCCACTTTCACGTAAGTAATACAACCCTTATCTAATAGGGAAATGAATGCTCAACTTAGTGAGATAAAAGGGAACGTTATTTTGTGTGTTTTTTTGTTTTTTAAATGCAGCTAAACCTTTTCTCTCTGCCAAGATTATAAGAAACTCGAATATAATTGTTCGCCAGCATAGTATAGGGCAAAATTAATTTAGTTTTTGTTGACTAAAGCTTGTCAATTCCGTATATAAACACTAAATTTTTATGACATCTATTCAAGCCACAGAAGATGCAAGTTTACATTAGAAATGGAAGTGTCGCTGTTGTTACTGCTTTAATGAAAGCAGAGGCAGATACCGAAGGAAGATGAGTCACACCTCTTCAGAACCATGCTGCATCCGTGGCCCTTTCTACAGTGTACAGCTGTCCCCCCTTATCTGCAGGGCACATGTTCCAAGACCCCCAGTGAATGCTTGAAACCACAGATAGTACTGAACCCTCTATACTGTTTTTTCCTATACATGCATACCTCTGAGAAAGTTCAATTTATAAATTAGTAAGAGGTTAACTATAACTAATAATAAAGTAGAACAATTATAACCATACACTATAATAAATTATGGGAATGTGTTCTCACTCTGATAACCAAGATGGTATTGACTAATGGGTTAGTGTGTAGCATGGATACAAAGGGATGACTTATGTCCTGGGCAGTACGGAACAAGACAGGGTAAGATCTCACCTCACTACTCAGAAAGCCATGCAATTGAAAACATATACATGGTTTATTTCTGGAATTTCCCACGTAATATTTTCAGGCCATGGCTGGCAGCAGGTAACTAGAACCATGGAAGGCGGAACTGGACAAGCAGGACTGCTGTATCACAGCTCGTATTCCTGCGAGACTGCCGCCTTCCTAGGGGACAGGGGTCATGTCTTATTCATGGTTTCATTTCCACTTCCCGACACAGGATAGTAGCTCAGTGAATCTTAACTGAATATCAAGACTGAAAACACAAACAAACCTTTAAGTACTTACATGCCAGCTTTTATAACTGACCTAGATCTTTTTGCTCACTTTATTCATATAATCACCCTCAATCCTTTATTTTTTTAATCTCCAAGTTATAGATAAAGAATCAGGGTCTCAGAGAGGTTGACAGACTCACCCAAGATCATTCAGATTCACATGTAAGGTTCTGACTCTGATCAGAACCCTTCCTATCTCACCATAGCCACCTTCGAATTAATCGAGGTAGGATAGAATTAATTTACCTGGGGTCATTTATCTCTACTTTTACTTTGCCTATTTAAGATGCACTTCTAAAGACTATAAGTTGAAGTACAGATTCAGGAGTTTAGGAAGGCGTGTACAAAAATTAGTCAAGTCAGATATTACTCTCAAAGCTAAAGCAGCTATTTCCATGGCAACTGTGAGGGAACTGAGAGCAGCGAAGATGCGGCCTTGTATTTGCTTCTGTGTTAAGTGATCCCCTACAAGGAATATACAGAACACGTGATTCATACACATCTTAAGGAAACTGGATGTAGTAAAATAGAATTGTTCATGTAGTCGTTGAACATAATATTTATTACACAATATTCGTACTTACTTAGGCCTTGCCCTCTACCTTATGATACTGTGAAACTTTTGGGGGACTACTCTTAACATATATCAAAACAGAAAAGTCAGAGATCTTTGACCAAGATTAAATATTAATTAATTACTAAAGTTAAAACTGAAATTTGGAGGGGGCTGGCCAAGTGGCTCAGTTGGATAAGAAAGAGCTCGCTCAAGGGTGCAAGCTCTGAGTAACAGCAGTTCGATTCCTAGCTGGAGCTGAGCTGCCACTGAGCTGCCAACAGGTGGCAGGATGGCTCAGCTAAAACAAACAAACAAAAAAACCCCTGAAATTTGGAGTTTCTAATGACTATTCCTTTGTTTAGCAGGCAAAAAATTTTATAATAGTAAGTTTTTTTTTTTTTTTAATGAAAAGTTGGTCTCAGGTGATGCTGTCTACTATTCTACACTCAGGATTCTGGTTTAAAGGATGGAAGGAGGTCACTATGCCTAGAAAAGCTCACACGTATAAAAAGCCAATAGGATACTCTTGGAAATTTGGAGGCGCAACTGTCTGCTGTGACTTAATTCTAACTGCTAGAGAACAGTGGAGTCAAGTATGTTGTTTTATAGAAGAGATATTTATTACAAGAGGTGGAAAAAGATCCTCTCAATATAATGACTGCAAAACCCATTCAATGCAGGCAATGCATAATTTTTGTGGACATAATTGGCTATAGATAAAAAATAAATTAATTTTGGGGGTAGTGATTAGAACAAAGTAACACTGCAAATCAAATGTTTTTCTCTTTTTTTAAAAAAAATTCCATTTTCCCATGCTGACCAAAAGACTTTTAGGATTATTAAAAATTCCTAGAAAAAAAACGTTTTCCTTAAAAATATCTTGGAAGCTACTGAGTGTTGAGTTCTCATTTAACACTCAGTGTTGAGTTCTCTTTCCCACTCCCTGGCCTCTCTCTGAAGAAGTGGTGATGATAATAAATACACTAATTTCAAAAAAGAAAAGGGACTCACCCTAAGGCCTGCTTCAGTGAGCTCTAGGCAGTATCTGTTCCTTTCTCTGGTTTCCACGTTGATGTAGGCCACGTCATCTGCACAGCGCAGGTTTTTTGAGACAAACATGTTGTTAACAGCAAAGAGAACATCATTTACAACAGCTTCAGCTTCTAGCTTCATGTCTTTCGTATCAGTTCCTTCAAAACCATTGAGCTCGGCATCTTCTTCAAATCCTGACATGCTGCTTAGCTCCATGGGATTACAGTCTGTTTCCATCCTGCAAAAAAGTAGACAGAAAACTTGCTTACAGAAAGACATTCCCGAGGTTATTGTTTCATTAAAA